GGCTCGGAGGAAGCAGCGGTAAGGTACACCGTTCCGGGATACCGCTCATGATGAGCAGCACTCAGAATCTCCCCATACATCACTTCACTACGAGACAGGAGCTTGAACAGCGACCTAAGCTAGAAAGCTTAGATCTAACCTATGATGCGTTGCCGCTTGATCTATACCCACTTCTATAATACATTTGTTTTTAACAAATGTGACTCAGCGAGAGGGACAAACTCAATTTCTTAGACGATTTCCAGAAAGAGTCGGAAGAGTGAGCATTTTTTTTGCAGCTTTCTTGGGATCGCAAGCATGATGAGCCACAGTCAGAAATCACTGCACTACAAGACATCAAGCCTGAACCAGGACTTGAACCCTAGACCCTTAGATTAAAAGTCTGAGGCTCTACCAACTGAGGTTTGACCTTGATTGAAAGGCAATCTTTTAAATCCATACTTGTTAAAGGAATATATAAGACGACTGAGAAGAAACCCAATTCCAAAAAGGCTCAGAGGAACAAGCAGAAAAGGTACATCTTTTTTTGGAACCGGCTCAGGATTAGCAAGAGTCAGGGATCTCACCAGAAAGTCACTCCACTACAAAACTTCAAGCCTGAACAGGGACTTGAACCCTGGATCCTTAGATTAAAAGTCTGAGGCTCTACCAACTGAGGTTTGACCTTGTATGAAAGGTAATCTTGTAAAACAATACTTGTTAAAGGAATATATGAGACGACTGAGAAGAAACCCAATTCCAAAAAGGCTCAGAGGAACAAGCAGAAAAGGTACATCTTTTTTTGGAACCGGCTCAGGATTAGCAAGAGTCAGGGATCTCACCAGAAAGTGACTGCACTACAAGACATCAAGCCTGAACAGGGACTTGAACCCTGGATCCTTAGATTAAAAGTCTGAGGCTCTACCAACTGAGGTTTGACCTTGATTGAAAGGTAATCTTGTAAAACAATACTTGTTAAAGGAATATATAAGACGACTGGGGAGAAACCCAATTCCAAAAAGGCTCAGAGGAACATGCAGAAAAGGTACATCTTTTTTTGGAACCGGCTCAGGATTAGCAAGAGTCAGGAATCTCACCAGAAAGTCACTCCACTACAAGACATCAAGCCTGAACAGGGACTTGAACCCTGGACCCTTAGATTAAAAGTCTGAGGCTCTACCAACTGAGGTTTGACCTTGATTGAAAGGTAATCTTGTAAAACAATACTTGTTAAACGAATACATAAGACGACTGAGGAGAAACCCAATTCCAAAAAGGCTCAGAGGAACATGCAGAAAAGGTACATCTTCTTTTGGGAACCGGCTCAGGATTAGCAAGAGTCAGGCATCTCACCAGAAAGTCACTCCACTACAAGACATCAAGCCTAAACAGGGACTTGAACCCTGGACCCTCAGATTAAAAGTCTGATGCTCTACCGACTGAGCTATCCAGGCTTCAAAAGCTCGTTTGATTATTGCAAATGTGACTCTGGCAGAGGAACAAACTAAATGTGTTCGTCCAATTCCAAAAAGGCTCAGAGGAATGAGCCGAAAAGGTACAGCTTTCTTGGGAACCGGCTCAGGATTAGCAAGAGTCAGGAATCACTGCACTAAAAGACATTAAGCCTGAACAGGGACTTGAACCCTGGACCCATAGATTAAAAGTCTGAGGCTCTACCAACTGAAGTTTGACCTTGATTGAAAGGCAATCTTGTAAAACAATACTTGTTAAAGGGCGACCAGATTGACGCTGTAGCCCACGTCGTTCTCCAGGAGCCAGAGGAAGGTTCTGCCCTGGTAGCGGCCAAACTGCACCTTCCACCGGCTCAGAACCAGGGCGGCGTTGGCGGTGTCACCGCCCTTGGAGACGACATGAACCCAGGCCTCCGAGTCCACCTCCTCCGGCCTCTTTGCCCTGTAAGGCGCCTGGGCACTGGGGGGCTGCCGCGTGAAGAGGGCCTGGGCCTCTGGGGAGGCCGTGGGCAGGATGGTCCCGTTAGGGGCCCTTCTGCATGTAGGATGCTCCATCTAAACAAATGGACATTTTAGCAGCACACGGGAGAAAGAAGAAGACATGACACGTGACACTCCCATCTATGACATCAGTTATATCACAGTATTTTACTCTTGTCATTTAAACCTTCCTATCAGAGGAAACCCTGTTTCTGTCTCTAAATATGCACATCTTTTTGTTTGTTTGTTATTATTCCACATAAATGACAAATATCACAATTCTACTGGACTGTTGAATGACACATGAATAAAACACGTTGCTATACGTTGTAATAAAGTAACGTTTATGACTTGGTAACACCTGGTGTTGTCAACATATGACGCATCCCCGATGCTATAAGTCACGTAAGCTCCGTCACCAATAAACCACTTAAATGTCCGCAGAAACACGGAGAGACGTGACCGTTAGCTCCCATACGCGGTTTTAGACCGGGTTCCATTCACCGTATTAAAGTAGAGTTAGTAATAATAACCATAAATTGTGGCTAAAGTTAGGTGTGTGACGTCACGGCCGCCGCTAGCATCGATCGGCAGCGGGTTTGTTGCGGGCAAACTCATTTCCATTCACTCACATTGAAATAGTATTAGTATCCCTGCTTGCACTCATAATAAGCACCCATTAACATGCGCCGTAGTACTAAAAAACAACATAGTTGACATGTTGTACTTACGTCTGCCGAGTATTGTTAGAATGAGACGGCAGTCCAGCGGTGATCCAACATGGCGGAACGAGAAGTCGGAATTGAAACAAATTGAGCATCTGATTGGACGCGCAAACCGTGGATCCTCTGATAGGTCGGCCGAGAATTGAAACAAGCTCTGAGGCGTCTCATTGGCTCCTAGGAATTTAAACAATTGGGACAGAGAAGAAGGGGCTCCGGGTGAAAAGCAGGATATGGTTCATTCTTCTCTGCGATCAGGTCCCAAAAATAGTATGTGTGGGGAGGAGGGGCTAGCTGTGCTCCAGATGTGGGCTGCGATGCAGAAGATCTGTGGTTCGAGTCCCACCTCCGGCAAGTTGCAAGCAAAGTGTGTTGAATGATGGCAGTTATGGAGATTTCCCTAAATAAACGGGTGTGTATGGAATGAAAACATACAGGTGTGTATGAAATGAAAAAGCTTCCAAAACCAAGTGCAGAAAATACACTTTAATGGCTTAAATAACACATGACAATAATAACACATGACAATAATAACGCATGACAATAACAACACACTAATAGTAACCTGCTTAAACCTTAAACTGCTTATAAATAAATAAAACAACAAATAAAAACCCTCATTTCCCCCCGCTCTGAGTGCTTTGGACCTCCTCCCTCCACTGCTCCACAGTCTTGCCCCCGACAGCAGCACAGTACGTTACACCGTAAAGCCGAGTGTGGCCAGTTTCTAATGTTTTGGGCTGACCACACTTGGAGCAGGTGTACTGCTGTCGGGGATTCTTGGGTGGCAACACCTGACCTGCAGCAGCAGCAGCAGCCGCTGCCTCGGCCGCCTTCCTCTTCCTCCAGACAGTGGTCCTGCTTTGTCCGGGACTTTGAGGAGGCAGACCGGCAGGACCAGGGAAGACACCCAGGGGCAGTGGAGGAAGGCCGCTGGACGAAGGTCCAGGCTGCTCCCCATCTGGTGGTGGAGGAGGAGGAGGAGGAAGGCCGCCGGATGAGGGTCCTGGCTTCTCATCCGGCACGTCATACTGGTAGGGCTGTCCTTGTCCCACCTGAACAAAGGACAGCCCTTTGACGGGAGGGAGGGGCTCGGCTGCGACACCTGCAGGGATGACGGAAGCTCCCTGCTGCAGCACAGCCGTGACCAACCCCCTCTGCTTGCGAGAGAACCTGGGAGACAAACACAGAATGCGGTCAGGCTCTTGATCCAGCGATAAATCAGAGTGCAGACCCGTCAAAGCAGCTTCACGTTAAACTCACCACTGGCTGAGGGTCCGGTGGTTCAGCTCAAAGAGCTGGATGTCCGTCTGAGCCATCAGCCTCGGGGTGCTCAGCACTATCTCTCTGATGGACACATAGTCAGCGAGGATGAGGCTGAGCCGGGGCTTGTGCATCCCGCCGACCCGCGTGGCCGCCGGGTGGAGCTTGCAGAGCAGCGTGCAAATGGCCTCCACCAGGCGACTGGCGCTGGGCCAGGTGGAAGGCCCCGAGTTGACCCCGAGGAGGCAGCTGAAAGAGTCACGAGGAGCAGAGTGTGGGTCAGTACACAGCAGATATGTACCAGAGGAAAGATCCCTGCTCTAAAGGAGTCTCACCGTTGGAGACTCTCCTTTTCTAGCACAGGAGGTGTTCTTCCCCTTCGCTGCCTTGAACCGCTCTCTTTGGTTGCCTCTCCCGGTATCTGGGAGGGTAGTCGACTCGCCGCTTGTCCTGCTCCGCCAAGCGAGTCCAAAGCAGGATGAGTCGGTCTACCCTATTCTCAGACAGCCCCAGAAGGTTCCTCCCTTCCACCAGCACCTGGGCCAGCTTCAGGATGTGCCGGTACCCGGGCTGGCCATCAGGACCCTGGATGTCCTCCTGAGAAGAAACGAGGAGGAACAAAGCCCGTAAGCAAATAGTGCAGTAAGAGATTCTATCTCACAATCGTCAGTATGTGAACTTACTTCAGAGTCTAAGGAGGGCTGCTGGGGATCAGGGTCCTGAACCTCTGGGGCCTCAGGAGGGGCAACTTGACCCGAACGGGATGGCTCAAACGGTGCGTCAGCTGGATCACCTGACCGGGCTGCTGCCACGCTGGAGGACTGAGTATCAGGCCCGAAGACGGTAGGGTCCTCTACGTCTTCCTCGATGCCCTCATCCTCCTCCAGCGCCTCGATGGCAGGAGCCTCGTCCGGAGTGTCAGGGTCCAGGCTGACGTCCTCAAGCACTTTGCCGGTCTGCTGGTACAGGTACTCCACTCCGATGAGCTCCCCTGTCACACAGAGAAGGATTCAGTAGCGGCTCGTTTTGCTGTCAGTTACGAGATGAGGTGTTTTCACATCGCATACCTGTGTACTCAGCCGGCTCGGTGAAGTCCTTAACCATCTGAAGACCAAGCACTCTTTGGCTCTTCTGGTTAAGGACGTGCTTGAGGTGGCCACTGTAGGAGTGCAGAGGTCCCAGCCGTCCCTCGACTGCAGCCGGTGGTGGTGCAGCTGCCGCTGCGCGGTCCTCGTTCCACCTCACCAGTCCATCCACCAGGAACGCCTGGAAGTGCTTGGCGCTGGCCCGGGTCCCTGGGGAAGGGGGGGGGGTTTGGATCAGACACGAGTTTGCATTTTCTTAAAGTTCAAATAGAGATTACATTTTGTCACGAGCCGCGAGACACACGCCGGTACCTGGGATGAACCGGTTAAGGTGGAGGTGGAAGGACTCCAGAGAGGTGGAGCCCCTCGCGCAGCGATATACGGGCAGGCTGACTCCTCCCTTGGTCAGCCGGCCCGTCTGGGTGTACAGCTGCACACCTGGCGGGTCCTGGATGCAGCTGAGGTGGGTCCTCTGCGTACTCCATATTTCCTGGATGCGGAGAGCGTTGAGCAACGGGATGCCCAGGTTGTTGCGTCCTGCCGGTCCACCGAAGGTGTCGAGGAGCTCCTGGATGAGGAGGGCCGATTCCTCAGGCCCCCGTGTCCTGCGGCGGACGTGGAGCCTCCACTCCTCCTTGGAGATCCTCTGGTTCACCGCGGCGTCCGTCAGTCCAACCATCCCGTGCTTCCCCTCCAGCTGGGACCGCTTAGCCTCTGCGAGACGGCGTGCATCTCCGGCGTCCACCTCAAAGATGCAGTTAGACAGCTGCCTCATGAAGGTGGGGTACAGCTCGTGGCTCTCGGTGTTGACACCTGATGCGAAGCGTCGCATCAGGTGCCAGATGTCCAGTCTCACCACGAGATGCTCCCACTCCTGCGAAACAAACAAAACGTTAAACTCTCCAGCCACGGTGCTGATGCAGCACAACTGTCAACAGTGTCCTTTTCACACCTGAAACAAGACAGCTGTCTTTGACACGCCGTCCCTGTTGCAGCAGTCGCGGTCCACGTAGATCAGCTGGGGGGGAGGTACCCCGGCGAGTCGGTACCGCCTCATCAAGCCGGCCGCCATCCCGGACAGGCCCCCGGCGCTCTCTCGGTGGAGGTGAGGACGCTCATGAGGACCTGCCCGTGCTCATTGCCGACGTTGGTAGCCCAGGCGGCCGTGTCGGAGGCGATACCCGCGAGCTTCTTTGTCACCTGCAGAGAGATTCTGAGAGTTAATGTGAGAAACACACAGCAGCTGGAAGGAAAAGAAACTGACAGACTCCACTCGCCTTCTTGGTGGAGTCCATCTTTTTGATTGACCCGAAGGTGGACGTGATCCTGGCCTTGTACTCATCCAGCCGCGCCAGGACGTCGTAGCTGTACACGGTCAGCAGCCAGACGGGGGATGGCAGAGGGGGCATCTCGGGCAGAGTTGCCTGGACCGGGCAACTCCTCCCGTTCCTCCACGGCAACGGGTGCGGACGGCGTCAAGGGGGCGGCTGGAGGCGAGGGAGCCGGTGTCCCGGCAGGCTGAACCACGACGAGGGCTGCAGAAGGTCTATCTCCTGTGAGGCTTCCAGCAGCTCCTCGTCTGTGGGCTCGTCCAGCAGAGTAGAGACACCGGCTCCCGGAGGAGGAGGTGCTGCTGAGGAGGAGGCGGCGGCGGCGGCGGCAGCAGCAGCAGCGGGTGGTGGCAGGCGCAAAAGGGGAGCCTTTGCAATCAAGGCTTGAAGGTAAAGGAGATGTTTGAGTAACGTAAAAGGTTGAGATTAAGATGAATTATTATTAATACTGTTAATACTGAGAGACCGACAAAGATTGAGCTGCATTTACACACCACAAGAGATCAGGAGGTGATTTTAAAGAGCGAAAGTGAGGGTGAGATGATAACTAGTTAGCCATGCAGATGTTGTTGAGCTAGCCAGGCGCTGATGAAAGCACGGTGAAAAGGACGATGTTATTTGCAGAGGTGGGTTATTGATCCGAGATGATCATCAGACCGCTGACGCAAAACTTACCAGTCATCCGCTTTCTTCCTCTGATCAAGAAACGTTTTAAAGTCAAATTAAAAAAGCGTCAACAATGAATACAAGTACTTTTGTTTGTGAACAAAGTGTTTCCTGTTTATGACTTTACTCTTTACTTACAGGTCTCCAAGTCAACTACCGCCTTGACCAGCTCTTCATCTGTAGGCTCCACAGATGACTGGGTGGAGGACAGAGCTGGTCTGAAGGGGCTGAAGTTGGGGGCTGCAGACACATGATGGCAGAAGATAAACCAGGAACACAGGAGCGTAGATCAAGTGGAACGTCAGTAAATAACGGAGGCTGGACTGACCTGTAGATGCAGGCTTAGGGGCCACCAGCTTCTTCACCTGGGCCTGCATCTCCACAGCAGATAGAGAACGCCGACCAGAGACAAACTCCACAAGCGCTGGACCAAGAGGCCTATTATGACACACGATAAATGAGAGGCAACGACATTAACAATGACACAACGTTACAAACATTTCTTCAGGAACACGTACTGTGATGCACTCGTGGCTCTCTGGCTTGTGGCCGATGCAGAGGCTGCGCTGCTGCTGGAGGTGGAGGTAGATGCTCCAGCAGCAGCTTTCATCCTCTGCATGTCTCTGCTGCGCACATACTGGACGGCGTTCTCCATCTGCGTCTCTGGAGCTGGTGATGTCCTCCGGAGGTACTTGACAAAACTGCACAAATCAAACATTCAACATGATTCTGATTCTCGATTGTCGCCACAGCAAACGCGACGATAATAATAATAATGATCTTTTTCACCGGATCTTTTTGTTGTCCGTAGATTCGTAGAGGCTCTCCAGGGTCTCGAATTTGAAGTCCCCGAAGCCAACGAGGGCCCGTCCCTCCTGACCGGGCTGGAGGGAATTTGCCTGCGCCTCCTCAAATGCCCTGTGGAACCTGACAGCCTCCACAAAGTCAGGATAGGCGGAGGAGTAGCGGGTGAAGGCGTCCTGTGAGGTTACAAAGTGAGATAACACAGTGAGGTTAAATGCCATCATTTCTCTAATTGTAACTGTCTCAAAGTATTGTGAAGGACCTTGTTGGCCATCAGCGGGGACTGAGACTGCGTCCTCTCGCGCTCCTTCTGGTGGGAGGCGACCAGATTGACGCTGTAGCCCACGTCGTTCTCCAGGAGCCAGAGGAAGGTTCTGCCCTGGTAGCGGCCAAACTGCACCTTCCACCGGCTCAGAACCAGGGCGGCGTTGGCGGTGTCACCGCCCTTGGAGACGACATGAACCCAGGCCTCCGAGTCCACCTCCTCCGGCCTCTTTGCCCTGTAAGGCGCCTGGGCACTGGGGGGCTGCCGCGTGAAGAGGGCCTGGGCCTCTGGGGAGGCCGTGGGCAGGATGGTCCCGTTAGGGGCCCTTCTGCATGTAGGATGCTCCATCTAAACAAATGGACATTTTAGCAGCACACGGGAGAAAGAAGAAGACATGACACGTGACACTCCCATCTATGACATCAGTTATATCACAGTATTTTACTCTTGTCATTAAACCTTCCTATCAGAGGAAACCCTGTTTCTGTCTCTAAATATGCACATCTTTTTGTTTGTTTGTTATTATTCCACATAAATGACAAATATCACAATTCTACTGGACTGTTGAATGACACATGAATAAAACACGTTGCTATACGTTGTAATAAAGTAACGTTTATGACTTGGTAACACCTGGTGTTGTCAACATATGACGCATCCCCGATGCTATAAGTCACGTAAGCTCCGTCACCAATAAACCACTTAAATGTCCGCAGAAACACGGAGAGACGTGACCGTTAGCTCCCATACGCGGTTTTAGACCGGGTTCCATTCACCGTATTAAAGTAGAGTTAGTAATAATAACCATAAATTGTGGCTAAAGTTAGGTGTGTGACGTCACGGCCGCCGCTAGCATCGATCGGCAGCGGGTTTGTTGCGGGCAAACTCATTTCCATTCACTCACATTGAAATAGTATTAGTATCCCTGCTTGCACTCATAATAAGCACCCATTAACATGCGCCGTAGTACTAAAAAACAACATAGTTGACATGTTGTACTTACGTCTGCCGAGTATTGTTAGAATGAGACGGCAGTCCAGCGGTGATCCAACATGGCGGAACGAGAAGTCGGAATTGAAACAAATTGAGCATCTGATTGGACGCGCAAACCGTGGATCCTCTGATAGGTCGGCCGAGAATTGAAACAAGCTCTGAGGCGTCTCATTGGCTCCTAGGAATTTAAACAATTGGGACAGAGAAGAAGGGGCTCCGGGTGAAAAGCAGGATATGGTTCATTCTTCTCTGCGATCAGGTCCCAAAAATAGTATGTGTGGGGAGGAGGGGCTAGCTGTGCTCCAGATGTGGGCTGCGATGCAGAAGATCTGTGGTTCGAGTCCCACCTCCGGCAAGTTGCAAGCAAAGTGTGTTAAATGATGGCAGTTATGGAGATACCTAAATAAACGGGTGTGTATGGAATGAAAACATACAGGTGTGTATGAAATGAAAAAGCTTCCAAAACCAAGTGCAGAAAATACACTTTAATGGCTTAAATAACACACTAATAATAACACATGACAATAATAACACATGACAATAATAACACATGACAATAATAACGCATGACAATAACAACACACTAATAGTAAATAAATAAATAAAACAACAAATAAAAACCCTCATTTCCCCCCGCTCTGAGTCCTTTGGACCTCCTCCCTCCACTGCTCCACAGTCTTGCCCCCGACAGCAGCACAGTACGTTACACCGTAAAGCCGAGTGTGGCCAGTTTCTAATGTTTTGGGCTGACCACACTTGGAGCAGGTGTACTGCTGACGGGGATTCTTGGGTGGCAACACCTGACCTGCAGCAGCAGCAGCAGCCGCTGCCTCGGCCGCCTTCCTCTTCCTCCAGACAGTGGTCCTGCTTTGTCCGGGACTTTGAGGAGGCAGACCGGCAGGACCAGGGAAGACACCCAGGGGCAGTGGAGGAAGGCCGCTGGACAAAGGTCCAGGCTGCTCCCCATCTGGTGGTGGAGGAGGAGGAGGAGGAAAGGCCGCCGGATGAGGGTCCTGGCTTCTCATCCGGCACGTCATACTGGTAGGGCTGTCCTTGTCCCACTTAACAAAGGACAGCCCTTTGACGGGAGGGAGGGGCTCGGCTGCGACACCTGCAGGGATGACGAAAGCTCCCTGCTGCCGCACAGCCCGTGACCAACCCCCCTCTGCTTGCGAGAGAACCTGGGAGACAAACACAGAATGCGGTCAGGCTCTTGATCCAGCGATAAATCAGAGTGCAGACCCGTCAAAGCAGCTTCACGTTAAACTCACCACTGGCTGAGGGTCCGGTGGTTCAGCTCAAAGAGCTGGATGTCCGTCTGAGCCATCAGCCTCGGGGTGCTCAGCACTACCTCTCTGATGGACACATAGTCAGCGAGGATGAGGCTGAGCCGGGGCTTGTGCATCCCGCCGACCCGCGTGGCCGCCGGGTGGAGCTTGCAGAGCAGCGTGCAAATGGCCTCCACCAGGCGACTGGCGCTGGGCCAGGTGGAAGGCCCCGAGTTGACCCCGAGGAGGCAGCTGAAAGAGTCACGAGGAGCAGAGTGTGGGTCAGTACACAGCAGATATGTACCAGAGGAAAGATCCCTGCTCTAAAGGAGTCTCACCGTTGGAGACTCTCCTTTCCAGCACAGGAGGTGTTCTTCCCCTTCGCTGCCTTGAACCGCCCCTTTGGTTGCCTCTCCCGGTATCTGGGAGGGTAGTCGACTCGCCGCTTGTCCTGCTCCGCCAAGCGAGTCCAAAGCAGGATGAGTCGGTCTACCCTATTCTCAGACAGCCCCAGAAGGTTCCTCCCTTCCACCAGCGCCTGGGCCAGCTTCAGGATGTGCCGGTACCCGGGCTGGCCATCAGGACCCTGGATGTCCTCCTGAGAAGAAACGAGGAGGAACAAAGGCCGTAAGCAAATAGTGCAGTAAGAGATTCTATCTCACAATCGTCAGTATGTGAACTTACTTCAGAGTCTGAGGAGGGCTGCTGGGGATCAGGGTCCTGAACCTCTGGGGCCTCAGGAGGGGCAACTTGACCCGAACGGGATGGCTCAAACGGTGCGTCAGCTGGATCACCTGACCGGGCTGCTGCCACGCTGGAGGACGGAGTATCAGGCCCGAAGACGGTAGGGTCCTCTACGTCTTCCTCGATGCCCTCATCCTCCTCCAGCGCCTCGATGGCAGGAGCCTCGTCCGGAGTGTCAGGGTCCAGGCTGACGTCCTCAAGCACTTTGCCGGTCTGCTGGTACAGGTACTCCACTCCGATGAGCTCCCCTGTCACACAGAGAAGGATTCAGTAGCGGCTCGTTTTGCTGTCAGTTACGAGATGAGGTGTTTTCACATCGCATACCTGTGTACTCAGCCGGCTCGGTGAAGTCCTTAACCATCTGAAGACCAAGCACTCTTTGGCTCTTCTGGTTAAGGACGTGCTTGAGGTGGCCACTGTAGGAGTGCAGAGGTCCCAGCCGTCCCTCGTCTGCAGCCGGTGGTGGTGCAGCTGCCGCTGCGCGGTCCTCGTTCCACCTCACCAGTCCATCCACCAGGAACGCCTGGAAGTGCTTGGCGCTGGCCCGGGTCCCTGGGGAAGGGGGAGGGGGTTTGGATCAGACACGAGTTTGCATTTTCTTAAAGTTCAAATAGAGATTACATTTTGTCACGAGCCGCGAGACACACGCCGGTACCTGGGATGAACCGGTTAAGGTGGAGGTGGAAGGACTCCAGAGAGGTGGAGCCCCTCGCGCAGCGATATACGGGCAGGCTGACTCCTCCCTTGGTCAGCCGGCCCGTCTGGGTGTACAGCTGCACACCTGGCGGGTCCTGGATGCAGCTGAGGTGGGTCCTCTGCGTACTCCATATTTCCTGGATGCGGAGAGCGTTGAGCAACGGGATGCCCAGGTTGTTGCGTCCTGCCGGTCCACCGAAGGTGTCGAGGAGCTCCTGGATGAGGAGGGCCGATTCCTCAGGCCCCCGTGTCCTGCGGCGGACGTGGAGCCTCCACTCCTCCTTGGAGATCCTCTGGTTCACCGCGGCGTCCGTCAGTCCAACCATCCCGTGCTTCCCCTCCAGCTGGGACCGCTTAGCCTCTGCGAGACGGCGTGCATCTCCGGCGTCCACCTCAAAGATGCAGTTAGACAGCTGCCTCATGAAGGTGGGGTACAGCTCGTGGCTCTCGGTGTTGACACCTGATGCGAAGCGTCGCATCAGGTGCCAGATGTCCAGTCTCACCACGAGATGCTCCCACTCCTGCGAAACAAACAAAACGTTAAACTCTCCAGCCACGGTGCTGATGCAGCACAACTGTCAACAGTGTCCTTTTCACACCTGAAACAAGACAGCTGTCAGCAGTCGCGGTCCACGTAGATCAGCTGGGGGGGAGGTACCCCGGCGAGTCGGTACCGCCTCATCAAGCCGGCCGCCATCCCGGACAGGCCCCCGGCGCTCTCTCGGTGGAGGTGAGGACGCTCATGAGGACCTGCCCGTGCTCATTGCCGACGTTGGTAGCCCAGGCGGCCGTGTCGGAGGCGATACCCGCGAGCTTCTTTGTCACCTGCAGAGAGATTCTGAGAGTTAATGTGAGAAACACACAGCAGCTGGAAGGAAAAGAAACTGACAGACTCCACTCGCCTTCTTGGTGGAGTCCATCTTTTTGATGGACCCGAAGGTGGACGTGATCCTGGCCTTGTACTCATCCAGCCGCGCCAGGACGTCGTAGCTGTACACGGTCAGCAGCCAGACGGGGGATGGCAGAGGGGGCATCTCGGGCGGAGGTGGAATCTGCCCCCTCGCCGAGCACAAGGCCAGGAATGGCTCGCACACGCCGAGGTACTTGATGGCTCTCCGCATCCAGGCGTCCGAGTGCTGCTCCCGCAGGGTGTTTTGCAGCTGGTTGGCACTGTTCCCCAGAGTGCGGGACCTCAGCTGTATCACCACCCTCATGTCACAGGACAGCCTGCACGACACAAACATCACGTAGAGCCGAGTCTGCACCTCCAACGGGACGTTCAACACAGACAAATGGTGAAGAAATGCCTCCTTACTTGTACGTGAGTACAGCTGGGAACTGGCAGCTGTGGGTGGGGGACAGCTGCCTGATGATGCCCTGTGACCACCCCCCGACCTTCTTCTTACACCGACGGCACTCCAGGTACTCGGTGGCCATGAGGTACCAGCCGTCGATGTCCAGGACCCTCCGGATGGTCCTGTACAGCCCAGCCTTCATCAGGGACCCAGAGCACGAAGGCTGGGGGCATGTCAGCTGCAGACGCCAAAGCCGGTGTGGCATCCAGAGAAACAGCCGACATGCGAAGAAGGGGTCGGGGGATGCGGGAGGCTGGTTGTAGACCGGCCGGGTTTGGGGGGGGGTCCACCATAGGTTGAGCTCGCCCACGAGCCGAGGCCTCCCCTGGCTGTCCCTGGTAAACAGCACCCGGCCGATCCACTGCTGCTGCTCCACAGTGAGAGCTGCCCTCCAGGACTGAGGCAGCAACTGGTGAGACGACAACACACACATAAAACCATTTTAATATCTACAGACAGTCAGCAGGGACACCTGCGGCCTCACGTGTTAGAGAGACTGCCTCACCTCACTGGCAGAAGATGGAGGGGAGGGAGGAACTCCTCCGATCCCTCCACGGCGACGGGTGCGGACGGCGTCAAGGGGGCGGCTGGAGGCGAGGGAGCCGGTGTTCCGGCAGGCTGAACCACGACGAGGGCTGCAGGAGTTTCCACCAGGGGGTCTATCTCCTGCGAGGCTTCCAGCAGCTCCTCGTCTGTGGGCTCGTCCAGCAGAGTAGAGACACCGGCTCCCGGAGGAGGAGGTGCTGAGGAGGAGGAGGAGGAGGAGGAGGAGGAGGAGGAGGAGGAGGCGGCGGCGGCAGCAGCAGCAGCAGCAGCGGGTGGTGGCAGGCGCAAAAGGGGAGCCTTTGCAATCGAGGCTTGAAGGTAAAGGAGATGTTTGAGTAACGTAAAAGGTTGAGATTAAGATGAATTATTATTAATTTATTAATTATTATTAATTAATACTGTTAATGCTGAGAGACCGACAAAGATTGAGCTGCATTTACACACCACAAGAGATCAGGAGGTGATTTTAAAGAGCGAAAGTGAGGGTGAGATGATAACTAGTTAGCCATGCAGATGTTGTTGAGCTAGCCAGGCGCTGATGAAAGCACGGTGAAAAGGACGATGTTATTTGCAGAGGTGGGTTATTGATCCGAGATGATCATCAGACCGCTGACGCAAAACTTACCAGTCATCTGCTTTCGTCCTCTGATTCGAGGAAACGTTTTTAAAGTCAAATAAAAAGAGCGTCAACAATGAATACAAGTACTTTTGTTTGTGAGCAAAGTGTTTCCTGTTTATGACTTTACTCTTTACTTACAGGTCTCCAAGTCAACTACCGCCTTGACCAGCTCTTCATCTGTAGGCTCCACAGATGACCGGGGGGAGGACAGAGCTGGTCTGAAGGGGCTGAAGTGGGAGGCTGCGGACACATGATGACAGAAGATGAACCAGGGAAACAGGAGCGTAGATCAAGTGGAACGTCAGTAAATAACGGAGGCTGGACTGACCTGTAGATGCAGGCTTAGGGGCCACCAGCTTCTTCACCTGGGCCTGCATCTCCACAGCAGATAGAGAACGCCGACCAGAGACAAACTCCACAAGCGCTGGACCAAGAGGCCTATTATGACACACGATAAATGAGAGGCAACGACATTAACAATGACACAACGTTACAAACATTTCTTCAGGAACACGTACTGTGATGCACTCGTGGCTCTCTGGCTTGCGGCCGATGCAGAGGCTGCGCTGCTGCTGGAGGTGGAGGCGGTGGAGGAGGTAGATGCTCCAGCAGCAGCTTTCATCCTCTGCCTGTCTCTGCTGCGCACATACTGGACGGCGTTCTCCATCTGCGTCCCTGGAGCTGGTGACGTCCTCCGCAGGTACTTGACAAAACTGCACAAATCAAACATTCAACATGATTCTGATTCTCGATTGTCGCCACAGCAACGCGACGATAATAATAATAATAATGATCTTTTTCACCGGATCTTTTTGTTGTCCGTCGACTCGTAGAGGCTCTCCAGGGTCTCAAATTTGAAGTCCCCGAAGCCAACAAGGGCCCGTCCCTCCTGACCGGGCTGGAGGGAATTCGCCCGCGCCTCCTCAAATGCCCGGTGGAACCTGACAGCCTCCACGAAGTCAGGATAGGCGGAGGAGTAGCGGGTGAAGGCGTCCTGTGAGGTTACAAAGTGAGATAACACAGTGAGGTTAAATGCCATCATTTCTCTAATTGTAACTGTCTCCAAGTATTGTGAAGGACCTTGTTGGCCATCAGCGGGGACTCAGACTGCGTCCTCTCGCGCTCCTTCTGGTGGGAGGCGACCAGATTGACGCTGTAGCCCACGTCGTTCTCCAGGAGCCAGTGGAAGGTTCTGCCCTGGTAGCGGCCAAACTGCACCTTCCACCGGCTCAGGACCAGGGCGGCGTTGGCGGTGTCACCGCCCTCGGAGACGACGTGAGCCCAGGCCTCCGAGTCCACCTCCTCCGGCTTCTTTGCCCTGTAAGGCGCCTGGGCACTGGGGGGCTGCTGCGTGAAAAGGGCCTGGGCCGCTGGGGAGGCCTTGAGCAGGATGGTCCCGTTAGGGGCCCTCCGGAATGTAGGATGCTCCATCTAAACAAATGGACATTTTAGCAGCACACGGGAGAAAGAAGACATGACACGTGACACTCCCATCTATGACATCAGTTATATCACAGTATTTTACTCTTGTCATTAAAACCTTCCTATCAGAGGAAACCCTGTGTCTGTCTCTAAATATGCACATGTATTTTTTTATGTTTGTTTGTTATTATGTTACATAAATAACGAATAATTCCACATAAATGACAAATATCACAATTCTACTGGACTGTTGAATGACACACATGAATAAAACACGTTGCTATACGTTGTAATGAAGTAACGTTTATGACTTGGTAACCCCCGTTGTTGTCAACATGTGACGCATGCCCGATGCTATAAGTCACGTAAACTCCGTCAGCAATAAACCACCTAAATGTCCGTAGAAAGGCATAAATGACAAATATCACAATTCTACTGGACTGTTGAATGACACATGAATAAAACACGTTGCTATACGTTGTAATGAAGTAACGTTTATGACTTGGTAACCCCCGTTGTTGTCAACATGTGACGCATCCCCGATGCTATAAGTCACGTAAACTCCGTCACCAATAAACCACTTAAACGTCCGCAGAAACACGGAGAGACGGGACCGTTAACTTCCATACGCGGTTTTAGACCGGGTTCCATTCACCGTATTAAAGTAAAGTTAGTAATAATAACCATAAATCGTGGCTAAAGTTACGCGTGTGACGTCACGGCCGCCGCTAGCATCGATCGGCAGCGGGTTCGTTGCGGGCGAACTCATTTCCATTCACTCAC